TGGGGTTTTCTGTGAGTTGGGGAAAGAACTGCATCAAAACTAACGCACGATTAGACTCGACGCAGGTGGTCCAATGGGATCTGCAGTTTTGTACTGAGCCATGCCAACGGTAGCTTACTGCTATGTCGTCGATCTGAGTTAGCGTGCTAGTTGAATTTGAGCACCACGTCGCTGTCCGCTGAGGGCTGTGTCAGAAGTTGGTGCCGGATAGGAACAGATGATGGTCTGAGCAGGACTGAAGAAGTTGATCACCATTATCGGTTCGCAGGCAGGGAGGAGCACAAATACCGCCTAGGCAAGCTTCCGATGCGCTGTCTTCCAACTTGAGCGATAAAATCACCTGTGAGAACAACTCTATCGAAGCTTCGACTCAACCTAATGAGTTCCTCGAGTTTATCATAGAACTCGTTCTTTTGTGCGTCAGAACTGCAGTTGATCGGTGCATACGCTGAAACGATGAACAAACACCTTTTGATGCTGCTTCCCTTCCGGATACTGATGGACCCTTGGAGCCGCATCGCACATAAGCGACTGTTGACGGGGATCCAATCGAGTAATGCGGCTTCGGCTATATTATTCAGTACAATGTCCACGCAACGATGGCCTACTGAACGGGCTTCGACATCACCGGACGTGCGGAGGAATAACCTCGAAAATAACCCCGGTGCACTTATAGTACTAGGATAATGGATTCGAGTCTCCGATAAGAATCAGACATCAATCCCCAAACAGTCCGTTGTACGCACCAGACACGTTTGTTAACCTAGCTGCATCAGAGTCCTCACGTTGAAGGTCCCAAGATTCAGTGTTTGACGAGGCTCCAGAATCTGTCATCTATTTTGTGTTAAACTACTTACCGAACTACTTGGCGAAGAACTTTGGCAAACGACAAACAAGTTATCTCAGGGAATGTTACGGGTTGGAAGAAAGGGTGAGGGGTTGGGTACGGAAGACAAAGAGTTAAACAAAGGTTGGGATATCTGAGCGATAACCCACTTTTCACTACCCACCACGCTTGATGCAATGGGCAGCGCGGTCCTGATTATCCTGTGCGACGACCGATGCAGCGTAGAATTGTTTTTTGTTTGTCTATGCATTTGAGTGTGGTGGACGGGTACAGCCAGGATGTCCAGCCACTACGCGTATTCCAGTGCCCTGTACGCTGACCATAAGGAGATTCTTTTTCTTCTCTACAATCTCATGGCAGGTCCACTTCAATAATTTGTATCTTATATGTTGTTAGTTCCTCAGCGATCGGCGAAGTTAACTTCTTAGTTTCTCGCTACACAAAGACGATAATCATAATGAGGCAGTCAATAGCCAAAGCATGTTTGTTTATCTCCCATCCGGAACCACTTATTAACTTTTCTGTCCCTGTTGACTGCTTTCAATATTTGCTCACCTTGACACCGCATATGTGAAGACTGTCGTAAATCGAATACATAATACAGAACGTTAGATTGACGTTTGCGATCTGCGATATACGAGACTGGGGGGACCATCAGACCTGCGATTCCGAGGATGGGAGAAGGGTGTTAAATAGTCGCAGTCTCGCACTGGCGTGAGTGCCTGACCCTCATACTGTGATGGTTGGAACATGTGTTACACCTGTTTCCAGATAGGCTTTCTGCAATATCGATATTTTCCACGATAGTTAGTGAGCGGAATATAGCCAAGATTCATCAAACCAAATCTGGGTATGAGGTATGAGGCTATGTTAACTAACGGCGGATTTGATCACGGACTGTATTCGATTTTCCGAGTGAAGTACCGTAATACTTCTCACTTTAGTGAGTCCGATCTGTGTACCTAACAGATCATAGTACGAATATACATAAAAAAATTCAGTTTGCTTATGGACAGAATTCTGCCAGGTTGCCCAAGTCGAGAGAGATGAAATTTCCTATGGGATTTATAGTCAATACCTTCATCCAACCAAAGTCTGATCATCAAAGAATCCGGATGATGTGTGAACATCTCGATCCATTGAATACTGGTGTTTAATTCACATGAGTATCCGCTTTTTGAAAAGGGTCCAACAGCTTAGGTGTCTAATACACCTGGATACCCGGTCCAGCCGCTGATCACTGCCACAACCAGGAAGGTCCGGGTAGGGTTAGCATGCCTCTCTCTTTGTATATATATATATATATATATATATATATATGTAATATCACATACGATTGAGTCAAACAAATCAGAGTACAATCTTTGAAAAAAGAAAAAGTTTCATGATTTGTTTGTGTGCGGAATACTGTCAGGTCGTCCAGGACAAAGCAAGGGTTTATTTTATCAATTCCCCCAGATNCCGACCTTGTTATAACCCTGGGTAATGGCTTTTCGCCCTCTCATTCTAGTAAGAAAACATCCCTTTTTCAGTACACACCGATGTGTGATGGACAGCAGACGGGATGGAACGCCATAGTCATGAAGACCTGCTGTTCAGTGATGGCAACCGGCAACCCAAGCCCCGGGACTTGGAGTGACGAACAACATAATTTCCTGCTAGGTCAGGTGTGGTAAAGGACAGGGCGACAGCAAAGCTGTCTACCACCAAAATTAGGTGGCGGGGCTCGAACCTCGAACCACAAGATCCAAAGAACGCCAGTGGCAGTGACTAAACCACTGCGCTACGTTGATTTAGTGAGCAGAGCTTCATCGGCGGAAGCTCTTTGAAACTTTTGGTAGTATAAGAGCATTTGGGGAATCGCATGGGAATGGTGATCGGTCAAAACCAAAGACACCTCCGGACCATACTGAGGCATTTGGAGGCCCTCTAGTATCTGTGAATCAACTACAATGGACTAGACGCTATCAAATCATTCGCAGAATGTCCCCACTACCTTAAACGGTATTTGGCGTAGGTTGTCTATTCTAAGTGGTAAACCCACCACATCCTGGAGCACTGCCGCTGATCATTCGCGACCGCTTATTCAGTGAGAATAAACAGACCTTATTCACAGTTAATCGCGAGTGAGCGGCCCCTATCCGCAACCTGGGGACGCGATCGGTAGCATACAGCTCTGCTCTTGCCGAGGTCTATTCCTAACGCTCGTTGTTTGACCTCATCAGTACACACGAGACGCGAAAGATGCTCGCAGCCAGTGATTGTCGAAACTAGATAGTATTTGGTCATAATCAGCTCGGGCAGACCAAGTTTCGAAATTGAGAAACACCATGCGTGTCNCGTTTCAGTGAAAGTGATATGTGGGGTTGGCGCCAGAGATGACATCAAATGATAGACGTCAGTCTCGTTTTAGATGTTTTGAGATCTCATTCTATCTACTCCGTAGTCAATGTTCGGCACAACCAGCAATCGGAGGAAGGCGACCAAAGTAAGAGCGACAAGTGATGGGTTTAAGTTTTTTTATTATTTGTTTACTACGTTTTGGAGTTAAACACGAAGATGAGGTTGATTTGGGTGTGATGGTTCATCAACTCCGCTAACGCTATAGGAAAGTAAAACAAACTGTCAGTAATAAAGTTTGTCTGTTCAGGCATGGACTCCCGCTGGTCATTTACTTTTAAACAATGAACAAACTTTGTAGCTTAATCTTTTGCTTTCTATAACAGTGTTCACGATCCACTTCTTGCTCTTATGCCACTCTGAACAATAAAGTTTAACGCATTTACCATACAGCAATACCTCGTACCAACAGGTTTTATAAAAAAACATTTAAGTGATAATTACGACTTATAATTTTTCCTCTTTCTGATTGTCTTCATTTTTATTTGACGTGTACTGCCTCTCGGAAACACATTCAGGATCCGAGCTCAGTGATCCGATTANCTCCTTTCGATCCGAAAGAAACGTCTTAACTACGAGTCTGCTGGGACCTATCGTATCAGTGTCTGGTCAAGTAGGCGTTGGCACTGTCTTAAGCAAAAGGGCCGAGGCTGATCTATTGCATCGGATCCCGATTGTTGACCGATTACGTGCAGTGAGACTCACGTCAAAAAGACTCAGTCAAAAAGCAGAAACCAAACGAACGGCGCCTATTCATGATTTCTGCATACGCTCCGACAGACTGTAACCCGGATACAATCAAAGACGCCTTCTATCACAACCTACATGAGCTTCTTCTTCTCAAAGCACCTAAGATGGATATCGTGATCCTGGAAGGAGATCTAAACGCATGCGTTGGTCGTCGTCACCCGAAGAAGCCTACCTTGGTGGTCATCATGGCTATTAGTATAAAGAGATTGCAAAATTGAAATATTTTTTTCGGGCACATCCTTTAAAGAGGGGCAGCGCCAGACTATGAAGCGGTCGACTGAGTCGTAAGCAGCTTTTATATCGCGGAAGACAGAAACGGCGGGTTTATGAAAAGAATGGCCGTGACCTAGAATGTGGACAAGATGGAAAATATAGTCGGTACAACCTCGACAAGGTCTAAAATCAGCAGATAGTCGACGGAGTATAATGCTCGCGTAAAGTTTGGAGACAACACTGATTAAACTAGTTCTGTGGTTTTCACAAGAACTGTCACCTTGCTTGTAAATTGGTAAGCTGACTGATTCACACCATTCAAAGCAAGAGGCAGCACGTGGATGAAGTGGCAGTAACTCAGGAGGACGCTCTGCATTCTATTTCTGGGCGACATAGTTAAACATAACTAGGTAAAGGACAAGTGACGCCAACCGTAAACGCCTATGATACAATCACGGAAGGCAGAGTCGTTTTCTGTATCGAGTAGTGATGACAAGCTAATCCAAAAGGAGGTGTGCATTCCTTTTGGTCGCACTATGTGACTTTAAATGCAGAGATTAGGCGAGAAATAATACATTACAACCATGAAAACCCGAAAAGAGTTAACTGATTGCAATTACTCACCCAACTCATAAAGTCCTCCTTTATGCTCAACAAAACAGATAAAATGTAGATTGGTCTTTGATGAAGCCTCAGGAGCCTGATTAGGGAAGAATATCAGTTGCTAGAGCGACAGCTTACTTCTGTTTGTCCCATTGTGGCAGAGTCTTCGTGCAAAGTAGATAGAATCTTACAACAAAAGAGGAAAGTATACGGCAGGGATTACACTCAGATCTACCTCTTCTCGTTCCATGGCTTCACCACGTTCTGAAGGCTCCAGGTCTCGTAATGTTTGAATTAATTGATCAAGGACAGATCGATCTAAATAAAACAGGAGTAATGTAAAACGAAAACAAGAAAACTTCATATATGATGCCTGGGCAATGCGAGACGGAAGCAACGTTAACATGAATAAAAAGTGGGACTTGGTTCACAGTGATAACTAATGAAATTTGATTGACCTGAACTGAAGTTCCTCAATTACTGACAGTAAACAATGAGTAAACGAAGCTCCAACTACCGACCGGGAGGGACCGGACACTATCGCGGTTAATGATTAAGAAGCGTTTTCACAGAAGGGATATGTGCACGCACACATACCGAAGAAACAGTATTTTCGAAACAACCGAATAGAAAGATTCTTGAATATCCCAACTGAAACATCAGTTTTATCACTGCTGATTTCACGCTACCAATAAATTTAGTGCAGATTTGGGATTTATGAAAAAGGGAAATATCGGATTGAGCTTTCTAGCATTTGAATATTTTTAGATCTCGGAGATGCTGCTGCACCCGAATGATTTTTACATTTAATTACTTATTGCTGACTGCGTGATTTTCGGAGCCACAAAAAAGAATCGACGCGACCCAGAGGAGAAATAAAGGCAAGTTTTAATAGCTTAACAGGGAATAAAATACGAATCTATCTGGATCAATTATGTAAAACATATGTAACCGAGAAAAAGCGCACGTATAGGCACGGTTTGACCAAATGATTAAGTAAAATCGTCACTGTTCCGAAAGAAAAAAGACAATTTACCTCGGAACTTGAGATGGTCTTGATTATTTGTAACTGCATGAAGCAGAGCCACCGTACCGCAGGCATTTCCGATAGTTTGCTTGATAAACATAATACTACTGTCTTTGACTGCTTCCCCTAGAGGTTCCGCTTCGGTTTTCTTTGATAATGGATAAAGAACCATCACGGCCAACACCGGTTTTGGTACTAGGGCTAGAAGCTCAGCTTCAAGACCGTAAACATCGAAAAATTCCCAGCCATCTTCGATGCCCAGTTTATGCATAAACTGGTTCATAACTTCCGGATTCGATTCCAGTGGGATCCATCGCATTTTTGTACGAGCTAAAATTTGGAAAAATACATCATATATATATATATATATATAACACCAATCTTTACAGTTACGGTGCCAAAATAACCACGGATTTAACGCAAAATACAGGAACGGAAGCGGGGAAAAACAGTCCACTTGAGGAACCAACAATTAATTTTTGTGTTTGCTGCATGCTATTTGATTTTTCTGTTTTTGTTTATTTTTGGGATCGCATACAAGGAAAGATGCATACACGCCAGTGACTTCTGTCGATGCCATATCAAGCAGTGCTAGCAGCCAAAGACACTGAATCTTTGGGGCACTAGCCGGGAAGCCCCAATGGGAGCCAGATCCGAGCACAATCTCTTCAACCCCCACGAAAGCCTCAGTATGGTAGGGAGTGGGTGTCTATGGTTGCAGCTGATCATCCTTCCCTTGCATCTCGTACAACGCTCCCATACGAGCACGCGTTTCTAATAGCCCCTGCTGAGGAAGCCCTGCTCACTACCTTCCCATGGCTGAGGTGTTTTCCCACCAAAGTGAGAGGACGAAAGGCGACATCCAGGGCTACAACTGGGTTGGTGAACCACCGGTAGTTCACTGGGAGAGTTCAATGGGAGTTGGCCAAAAACCATGATTCCAAACCAACCAAGAAGAGGTGTACGAACCACAATTACCCACATCCTCGTTGTGGCAGTGGTACCGGCTCGATTGAGCATCAAGGTGTATTGGGCGTATCATCCAATGAATGGGACAG